GCTTTCTCTCTGTGTGTCAAATAAATAAATAAAATCTTTAAAAAAAATGCAAAATACATAACTTCTTATCAGTTGAATGTGGCTCACCCACCTTCTTGTCTTAAAATTTTGTGGGAGGTGGTGTGTATGCATGCATGTATGTGTGTGTGTGTGTGTGTGCGCGCGCACGCGTGCGCACGCGCGCTTCACAGCAGGAAGACATTCTGGAAATGTAATGACTCTCAGATGTTTGTTTTTTAAGGAGAAAAAAAGGAAGGAAAGAAGGAAGGAAGGAAAGAAGGAGAGAGTGAGGGAGGGAGGGAGGGAAGAAAGGAAAGAAGGAAGGAAGTGAGGGAGGGAAGGAGAGAGGGAAGGAAAAGTTGATATGTCATAGCCAGGTATGTATCTCTAAAGCGAGAATGATGTCATTATATTTGGAGTTTATTGACACAAAATTTCCTTTTGTCTGAGAAATTTTTCAGCATGGTGAATATGGTTTTAATTAAGAGATACACTGATCATTTGTTGATTTTGGTACAAGGGAGGAAATTCTGTAGCTTCTCTGTGCCTCATTGTGTGGATCACAATGGAAACAGACAAAGGACCATGGCAGTGTGTTGATTTGTATCTACTGTATTTTACATCTATTTCCGAATGCCACTGAAAATCGTTGTTTAGAAAGTTCTGCAGGATTATTGTTTTGAAGTATAAAAATATTGGATTCACAATTCATTTTCTTTAAGAAGGAGGCCATACTGTGTTAACTGACATTACAAATGAATATGCTCACCTTTACCTGTGGGTTAAATTTTTGAATATTATTTTAAAACATAAGGAAATGTACCCTGAATTTAGGGAAGCCACACATAAATGCTGGCTCCTCTAATTACCTTTGAAAGTTTATTTGTTCATAGATTTATGACATAGTCTCTGGAATCATATGATCTGAAGTATAGATCATTGCCTCAAAATCAAAAACACGATATAGATATGGTAATCTTTGTATAGTTGTCCGAATCTATCTTCAAGTGATATCTGATAAAACTTAAACTACAGTAGTGTTGTGGGGCAAACGCAACCCTGCTCTGCTTCCAAATGCTAACCACTTTATACCACGAGCACTGAATCATGTCATTTTTAGTTTTCCATTCATCTTCTTTACCTCTCTTTAACTGGAAAAAAGGGAGACAAATAAAATGCAACTTCTATATTTAAAGAATGAGTAATAAGAAACTGTAAAGTGTGACCTCAGCTGACTTGGAGATTAATGGGAATGCAAATAAATAAATAAATAAAGTAAGTAAGTAAGTGGACTTGGAAAATGTGTGGAAAGGAAATTTCTCTGTACCCAGAATCTGCCAATTTCTTAACTCTCTATCTATAAACACAAAAGCCAAAACGTTGCTGATGGAAAAAAAGTAGAAAACTTCAAATAACACTAAATGAAGCATAGTTGTTCCCCGAAATTATTAGGATACTTATTTCACTTCCCTGAGTTTCCAATTTACACCCAGCCACAGGCCCACCAGGCCATTCCTGGGGTGACTCTTACTCCCCTGGCTGTCCAGCGGTCCTGCTCGCTGGGCACGTCAGGGTCGTCTCCGCCGGGCGGCCGGGCGCGTTGGCCCACGCGGCTCTTGGGCCCCAGGGCAGCAGTCACTGCCCGCTGAGCAGCCGAGAAACACCGAGGAGCCCGAGCCTCTAGACAGGATCCGCCGGTGTCCCCTGAACTTTGCGCACGCGGCGAAGCTGGAGGCAGACCGCGCGCTGTGGGAAGAGATTTCCGCGGCGGGGCGGCGGCGCGCCTGAGCAGGGGCCGCCCAGCCCGCGGCTCCAGCCCGGCGCCGGCAGCCCCAGCTTCGGCGCGGGCGCCCTCCCGCCGCGCTGCCGGCCGCCCCGCTCTCCCGGACCGCCCGGCACACTGCGGGAGGAGCCGCCGGCCGCCGTGACGCGTCAAGGAGGAAGCGGCGGCGCCCGGCGGCCCTGCGGGGAAGGAGGAAACGCGAGTGCGCTCGGCTCCGCGCCCGCTGCGCCAGGAGACAGCACCGTGGAGCGGGGTAGGTGCGGGGTTGGCAGGGACCCGAGGCGGGTGGGCCGGCCGCAGGGTCCGTGCGCGTCCGGGCCGCAGTCGGAGGCCCCGGGTGGGTGAGACGGGGCGGGGCGAGCGGTGCCCGGGCCTTGACTGCTGCCTCTTCTCGGAGCAAAGGTGACTTTCCTGGGTCTTTTGGCAGCTCCCCTGACCCTCAGCCCGAAAACCTCCGAGTTGGTGGAAGGGGAGAAGCAATACCCCCGCCCCGCCCCCGACTCTAAGAGTTTGTGGTCTGTGTTTCCTTGAGGTGAATTCAGATTCTGCTTTTTGATTCCTAAGCGCTCGAGCCGTGTCGGTGGACGGACATTGTTAACCCAGTGCGCAGCTTCCCAGCTTAGAGGAGCCGGGAACTGGGGGGGGTAGGAGACCCCCACCTGAGGCCGAAAGAGGGCGCGGGTCACCTGCGAGGATTGGGGATGGAGGAGGCCCCGGGAGCGGAGGGCACGGGAATCATTAACCTGTTGCCAGCGGACTGAAATCTGAGGCTAATGGGTTACTAACCTTCGGTTCTCTGTGATTTAAACCCTTTCCGTCTCTTTTAAAGTGAATTTGGCTCTGTTGATTCCCACAGCTTTAGTGTTGATATGTACCATCTAGAATGCTTTGAGATTTTTAGATTTGTCATTTTTAGTGGTGGTTGGTTGGGGAGATAGAAAAGAGAAAGAATTTATCTCTTGAGACTTAAACTCTTTCCTCACTGAATTTTGCACAGTGATTTCTGAACCGTGAGTAGAATTTTGGTCCTCCGCAAGAGACTATGTGCTTGAGCTGCAGGTACACTTGAGCTGCAGAAATAGATATAGAGCACTATAGTTCCCAAATCTTTATTTAAGACTATTAGACTGTTGTGTGTTTTGATTCTCTACTTTGTCTCTAGGTTGAGGATTTACCCAAGCAATCTGGGAAGTGACTTATTTATTTAATAAACACTCAAATGGTTCTTACCACGTGCTTGGGCTCCTTCTTACTGTTTTATAAATATTAATTCAAATTGTTAGCGCAAAATATTAAATTATAGCGGTTCCAGCAGTGAAGAGGCTGTGTACACTTCAGTTCCCCAATGTCATTGCAAGAGCTAGAAACATTAGAGGAAGTTTCAGGCATATTTTAGGACTGGGTGTGCCTTCTGGCGCACTTGGCTACCACTCCTGTAAGACAAGCCGCCACCCCTTCACTCCCTGGGGGAAGGGAATCTGGAGCTATGGGAATGAGACCTCTTCCTTGTAGATCTGCGCCTGATCCCTAGCATCATCTGTAAGACAGTCTTTCTTATCCATAGTGCCCATCATTAGCTAACTCTGGAGAGACCAGAACTTCCCCCTTTTTCAACTGCCACTACATGGAGCCTAATTTTGTTTTTAAAAGGAGCTTTGTTCCTAATCTGTTTGACAGTTGATGAAACCATAGTTTAGTGAAATGTACTATAAAATAGACTGTTTTTGCTTGTACACGTCAACATAAATAATGCTTTGTAATTTTACTGCCATTTGCTGTTAGTAACGTAGAGTTGATAGATCAACCTGGTAGGTGTCCATTTTGTGATTTGCAGACATAGAGAGAGAATATTTTTCCAAAATAAAGTACCCTCTTCAAATGAGTCCTTGGCCTGATGGTCAGATTGGAAGAGACCCAAAATGGTGAATCATGGTTCTTGTCATTATGGTGATTATCAATTTGATGTCAAAATCTGCATGTCATACTAGCTTTCTCTTTCTAGCTTTCTCTATTTCCCATTTAAGTTTCCAGAGAGATGATTAAATGAGACTCTGGGCCTTATTTAATAGGATTATGAGGTGTCTCCTGGAAGCAGGAAGGCTCGCTTTTCCTCTGATATAACTTACGGTACAACAAACAGTGGCGTTCATGAATTCAGTTAAGCGAAATGACGACTAACGCTTTCATGGTTTACAGAGTGCTTCCAGATATATTTGTGAAGTTGGCAGCCATTTCTTATTCCCGTTTTTACAGATGAGGAAACTGAGGCATAGAAATGTAAAATGTTTTAGCCAGGATTGTACAGCTGGTGGGAGAGAGAGCTTGAATAGAGAGCAGATGTGTGGACAGTGCCTGGCATGTGCCAGCCAGTAATAAACATTGTGGAATGAATGATTCCAAATGACTTCAGATTTCTTGCTCTTTCCAAACATTATGATTCTCAAATACTGTAATTGATTTATGCCTAAGAGATTTCTGGGCCTATACCAATGTCTCTCAGTTATTTCAAACAGTATCTGATATAATAAACATCTTTTCGACAGAAGAGATGAGAATGCCCTTTGGACTCATTTCTTAGGATTTGTCAACTCTGGTTTTTGAAAAAAGCAGTAAGCTGGTTATTTTGTTCTCTTCTCAAACATCTTTCTTTTTTCCTCTGATTTGAAGATAGTTTAGATTAGACATATGGTTTCATTGTTTGTGTCGACACCCTCCTTATCTCTCCCCGCTCATTGAAATTCATTTTTAAGGACTACAAATCACTGTAGGTTTTCAGTGTCAGTGAACTCAATTAAGCTACTTAGATTTATGATCAGGTTCAAACACAATGATCATAGGTATTGTCAAGTTTTTTTGAAGCATCTGACACTACTACTACTGTGTTCTTTGAAATGTTTTAAGTACGTTAGTATAAAGGGTCTCTTTTTAAAAAGTTTTATTTATTTAAGCAATCTCTACACCCAGCAGGGGGCTGGAACTCACGACCCCAAGATCAAGAGTCACATGCTTTCTGACCAAGCCAGCCAGGTGCCCCTAAAGGTTCTTTTATTTTTATTTATTTATTTATTTTTTTAAAGATTTTATTTATTTATTTGACAGAGAGACACAGCGAGAAAGGGAACACAAGCAGGGGGAGTGGGAGAGGGAGAAGCAGGCTTCCCGTGGAGCAGGGAGCCCGATGCGGGTCTCGATGCGGGACTTGATCCCAGGACACTGGGATCATGACCTGAGCCAAAGGCAGACGCTTAACAACTGAGCCACCCAGGCACCCCTAAAGGGTCTTTAAAAAAAAAAAAAACAAAAAAACCCCTCAACTATTTATATCCTTCTAGTATAATCTCTGTTTCCTAAAGTATGTGACCTGCAGAGAGTTAACCTACAATTAGGGGGGAAACTATGGCCATTACCTGCAGGGAGGAATTGAGAAGGGTATCATGGAAAAAAGAGAGATAGGGTGGCCTTTCCCATGAGGGATATTAGGTGGTAAGAAGCTCTTAATGAAGCCAGACTGAGTCATCTGCCTGTCAACATTCTTCTGTGTGGGGGTGGAATAAAATACTTTTGAAAACTGTCTTGTGTCAGAAACCACTTTACCTTTTCCAATCCTCATATTTTCTCTCTCTCTTTTTAATTCATGTAAATTACTGACTAAACTGCTGATTCATGAAACTCAAATTATGTAACATGTTATTCCTGACAGAAACAGCTCCCATGTTATTTTAAGGGATTCAAGGCTTCTGTTTTCCTTTACCTATTCCATTCCTTATGGTGGCATCTTTGTTCTCGTTTCACTTTTTTTTTTTCCTTTCTATTTCATGGAGAAAAGTAAATCTAAGAGGTGCTGATTCCACATCTTGAAGTTCAAGTCAAAGTAATTTTAACTCAGTACTAACTTTGAGTTAATTGTCATTGCTGAGGAAGACGACGTGGAAATCAAATGTGGAGGGCTGAGTCAGAGCATGGATAAGTAAAATTTTATTACCTCTCTGAAGCTGAGCCAGGGGATTTTCAAAGGGAATTGGGGCAGTGTACAATATCCTTGCCCTTGTCTAGTTTCCCAGGGCCTCTCCTCTTTCCCACAGGTCCTGAATACCTGTCTTGGTCCATCTCCTTGTAGCCACTATTTCTTCTATTATTCAAAACCAAAATCTGTTTTCCTAGGGTGGGGATGGGGGTGAGTGAAAGGAGGGTGAAGGGAATTGTTGTAAGGTAAGGGATTGATACTGTGTAAGAGGGAAGACAGGAGATGTGTGGGTGAAGTAAGAGATATTTAGTGAATTCTCATGGTGGATTTGTGCAGAGTACTGGCTTCCCCCAGTGGGGCCATAAATACAGGGAAAACCTACATGGGATCAAAGAATGTCTGGCAAGGATTAAAAACATCTACCGGTGTGTGATATTGGCAGGCAGAGCTCCTTTGTAGCACCAAGTGTGGAGGGGTCGTTCTAGTTAGCTGTTGCTTCAGGCCACCATATGAGTTTGCAGATAATTAAAATGTAGAGGGCTGGTTTTGTGGCTTTTAACTTGAGAATAGGAATGATCTGACAGGCTTTTGGTTGAATAAAGGCCTGGATTTTTACTTTTTTAAAGGCATACATTTTTTGGAGAATGTCTATAGTGTTGAGATAATGTTACTCCTTTTACTGTTTTGTGATTTTAAATAAATGACATTTGTATTTACATTGCATATAATAATGAATATGATTCAGGTTAAGTGCTTCCATTCAGGGTCCTGATATATTTGCTATGCCAGTCAATACCAAACTTTTTTTTTTCCTATAGGTAAAATAGACTTCATATGTAATATATTCATTCATACACAAAATTGGACTCGTTGATGGACTAGACATTCCACAGACAGCTGGATGAAATGTCCTCAGGTACAGTGAGGCTTCACTAGGACTTGACTAATTGCTTGAGTTAAAAAATGAGAAGGACCTTTATTACTCTAATTATTTACCTCACTGTTTTTAAAATAAAAATAGATTAAAGTTAAAATGATCTGGTTTCCAACTCAGTGTGCATATATGCAGACAAACATACATATAGGACCAAGTGTATAGCCTATATAATCTAATACATATGCATGTTATATATATGACTAGCCAAGAAGGAATATAAGAATCATATCCTTAGTTTCCCAAGAAAACACTATACATCCTCTCTTTCCCCCATTTTAATTTTATTATTGTCTCAAATTTTCTAAATGTTTTTTTTATTTTATTTTATTTATTTATTTGACAGAGAGAGACACAGCGAGAGAGGGAACACAAGCAGGGGGAGTGGGAGAGGGAGAAGCAGGCTTCCCGCGGAGCAGGGAGCCCGATGCGGGGCTCAATCCCAGGACCCTGGGATCATGACCTGAGCTGAAGGCAGACGCCTAACGACTGAGCCACCCAGGCACCCCCTAAATGTTATTTTTAATTACAAAGGTATGCATGCCCTTAAATTCAAGCAACTGAGAAATATGTTAAGTAAAAAAATGAGTCCTCTCCACTCTAATCTTACCCACAAAGATAACCACTCTCAATTTTTATATCCTTATAGACTTTTCCTCATGTTTATATAAATTTGTATATCTATAAATATATGTTGAGGTTTTGTATTGTTTTTAAAGATTTTGTTTATTTGTCAGAGAGAGAGTGTGTGTGAGCACAAGCAGCAGGGAGCAGCAGGCAGAGGGAGAAGCAGGCTCCCTGCTGAGCAAGGAGCCAGATGTGGGACTAGATCCCAGGACTCTGGGATCATGACCTGAGCTGGATGCAGATGCTTAACCAACTGAGCCACCCAGGCATCCTGTGTACATTGAGTTTTTTTTAAATGGGAATCATTCTACCCAATTTGTTCTTTTGTTTCTTGTTTAACACTTTATTGTGTACATCTGTAGATCTACATAAATTTTGACAGCTAGTGTTCCACTTCATAGCTAATAACTTATCCATTTTCTAGCTCCATTACTTCTATGTTCTCTCTTTTGTGTCTTTTAAAATATATTTAAATCACCAAAGTAATACATTTTTTTCCAAGAAAAATTTAAAGAAAAAGAAACTAAGAATCACCAATAAATCTACCATCCATTAATAATCACTATTAGTATTTTAGAGTACATCTTTCTAAACTTCTGTGTGTATCCATATTTTCAATGCCATTTAAAAAATTTCTCTTATACAGGCTTGCTTTGTTGGCTAGAGAATCATGTTTATGTAGCCAACCAACATCATGGATTCTATGCATGTTTGAACCAGTTATTTTACAGTTTCCTGGCCACCAGCCATACCCTAAACCTGGATAACACTCATGGAAATTTATACTACTGCTCATCAAGGGGATGAGGTGAGGGTAATGGGTGGACTGATAAATCCATCCAGATCAGCATAAATCCTTCTAATGGAGGTCAGTCAATACTTGTATTTTAAGCACATCCTAAATACAAGATGTTTAAGAAGAGAGACGATGGAATACCCACATGTGATTGTGATCACTGCAGGAGAAGCAGAAGTAATGGATTTGATCCAAGGAAAAGTGTTAAATTCAGTTAAAAATGAGAAGAGCTGAACTTTAGATGTTTTGAAACAGTCTCCTAATGATAAGCACATGGTTTGGAGTCCTTGGTTTAACAAAGCTCCCACCAATGGTAGGAGTAGATGACCTTGAAGTTCCTTGTGATCCTATTCTATTATAGCCTGTCTCAGAGTTAGTGGCTTAGTATAATTTCATGCATACAACTGCCTAGTTGCATACTAACTCCACCAGTCTTTCCAGACAGCACCCGTCCAGGCAAGCATCTCTCCACCCACCGAGCACGTCCAGAGCTATCTCCCACACGTTCCTCCTATGTCCCCTTGCTGCCTTTCCCCCTTTCTGAACGTTTAGTAGCCTTTTGACCTTTTTCTTTTTCCCTTTTCTTACAGCTTTTGCTTTAAGGAAATTTCTGTTCTTTCTCCATCCCACTCTCTTCATTTTGGTCTTGAGCAAAAAGGTACTAATCATGGTGATACAGTTAAGAACAAGCCTTTAATAAGGGAAAGGAAAGCTTTTAGTTTGGGAGGCAAGGTAGACATTATAAAGAATAGTGGTTTCAACCTTCAAAGCCCTTGAGAATACCCAGTAATTCCTTTCAAAATTTCCACAGACGTCTCCACCCACCTCCTCTTCTGTAAATAAGCTGGTTTTCCTTAAGCATTGGCATGTGTAATACAATTTAAAACTGTTTATAATGGGGGGGAGAGTTCATGTTATTGCAGTAGCATTGTTTTGTGCTACTTTTTCCCCATTGAAGATGTTAGCTATGTTATGGATTGAATAGACTGTTTTAGATAAGCTGACTCTTCCCTTCAGAAAATACATCTAGTTCTAGATATCTGGTTTAAAGCAATCTCTTTGGTTTTAAGTAAGTTGAAGACTAAGAAGGCTATTTTAGATTAAAGGTTAGTAATCTTTGAGAAGTGGTATGTCAAGATTCCAAACCCTTTCCTTTCAGATTTTCATCAGCTGAGATAGACATTAGTGAGAAGCATAGATCAGCCTTTCATCCTTAGGAGTCAGAGAAGAAGCAATACTGGTTGCAAGAATGTTAGGTTGCCCCTGGAGACTCTCTCAAGTCAGGCCCAGGTAGCTGGCTTCATGTCAACATAGCTCACCTGTAAAGGTGCTTTGGCCAGACGGCTTGAGGAGCTTCACACCAAGACAATAGCTGCTTAAGCTACACTGAGAGTAAAGGCCTATTTTTTTCATAAATATTAATGAAAAAGGTTTTGAAAAGACATTTTTATTCAGCTTTCAAACAACATGATGCTAAAATTGATGCTGGCTTAAGCATGAAAGTTCTATATCATGCACTTATTTGAACGGGATTGGTAAACATTTAGAAATTAAGACTTTGCCATAATTTTAAAAAATTGTTCTTATTTTTGTAGTTCTTTGTGTACATAGTTGGTATTTAATCCATTCTGACATAAATAGCTCTCTTTTCTGATTGATCTCCTGTTACCCCTACTCTCTCTTCTCATGAATATTTGGTTAAAGTTTTTTTGTCTGTAAGGGAGTGATTTCTTTTTAATTAATGAAAGATAAGACACTCAAATGTCTTAGCAGAGAACATTTTTAAAGAGATTTATAAGACTAAGCTACCTTTTCTCCTTGAGTTTTGTTTCCTCCTTTAGATTTCCTTGATTTCTGCTTCCCACTGATATTAACATCATTTATGTTTCGCCTTTTAAAGGTCCACTCATGTATGAACAAAAGTCCCTGTCCTATTGAATTTATTTGTTGCTTTCATTGGATATTTAGGATTAAAAATTTGCCTTTGGGGGGATGCCTGGATGGCTCAGTCGGTTAGGTGTCTGCCTTCAGCTCAGGTCATGATCCCAGGGTCCTGGGATCCGGTTCCACATCCGGCTCCCTGCTTCTCCTTCTGCCTGCTGCTCCCCCTGCTTGTGCTCGCCGTCTCTCTCTCTCGCTGACAAATAAATAAAATATTTTTTAAAAATTTGCCTTTGGGATGCAGGATGGTATTGATAAATTGCTACTTTTGTGTAGAAAAATAAGGAAAGAAAAAGGATATATTTTTGCTTTGCTTGTCTAAGCATAGAGAGACTCTGGAAGGCTACTAAGAATTTTTTTTTTTTAAGATTTTATTTATTTGACAGAGATAGTGAGAGCAGGAACACAAGCAGGGGGAGTGGGAGAGGGAGAAGCAGACTTCCCGCTGAGCAGGGAGCCCAATGATGGGCTCAATCCCAGGACCCTAGGATCATGACCTGAGCCGAAGGCAGACGCTTAACGACTGAGCCACCCAGGCACCCCAAGGCTACTAAGAAATTAACAGTGTTTATCTATTTGGCATTGGGTGGCGAGAGCTGGGTGGGTAGGGACACGGGTCAAAGCAGACTTTTCACTATGTCTTTTTTATATTTTCTTGGTTTGAACCATATCAATATGTAACCCATTGTAAAAATCATTTTAAAAATCATGTCTATTGGTTTCCTGACTTTTATAGAAAATAAATCTGTCCTTTTCTATTTTCCCTTTTCCATATGTCTTTAAGAAAGTTGTTTTATTTTTTCCAATAACATGATTTTATATATTTTATTTATTTTTTTAAAGTTTTATTTTAATTCCAGTTAGCATACAGTGTTATATTCATTTCAGGTGTACAATATAGTGATTCAGCAATTTTATACATTACTCACTGCTCGTCATGACACGTGTACTCTTTAGTTCCCATCACCTATTTAACCCACCCTCCACCCACCTTCCTTCTGGTAACCACCTCTGTAGTTAAGAGTCTGTTTTTTGATTTCTCTCTCTCTCTCTCAAAAGTTGTTGTTTTAAATCTTTTTAAAATAATCCTTGTGTAGTCTAGTTTCAAAGGACTAGCAGTATTTTTTGGGAATCTTGACCTGTTCCCTTCTGTTTTCTCAAGTGCGGTGTCTTAAGATTCAGTATGAAGCCTTCTCTTTTTTTTTTTTTTTTTAAGATTTTATTAATTTATTTGATAGAGATAGTGAGAGCAGGAACACAAGCAGGAGGAGTGGGAGAGGAAGAAGCAGACTTCCCGTGGAGCAGGGAGCCTGATGCGGGGCTCAATCCCAGGACCCTGGGATCATGACCTGAGCCGAAGGCAGACGCTTAACGACTGAGCCACCCAGGTGCCCCAGTATGAAGCCTTCTCTTAAGAAATTCTAATACTGCAAATACAGCCAAGCCTAAAGTTCTTGTTGGCTTATTTGATGAATCACTTAACTGAAATTGTCTGCAATATTCTGCCAACTGGATACTCAGTTGTTTCCTAATAAAACTGCCAGACAGTAACAACATAATTAATGCAAAGTTAGTTGATTTTTCCCCCCCATGGTATCTTGTATCTTATCATCATGGT